GAAAATTAGGCTCAGCTAGGTTAAGAAACTTGCTTGTGGTGACATCACCATAAAGCAGCACATCCATCCACCCGTTTTTTTTTTTTTTTTTCGAGTTTTTGTCCAGAGCTGGGCTTGAACCCATCACCTCCAGTTTATGGGGTCAGTACTATATTCCTTAGAACCACAGGTGCCACCCTCCACCTCAGCTCTTTCCACTAGTTTCTTAAATTCAGAAGAAATTAAAAACCTTGTTCTTGCATTCTTACATAATAAAGGTGACTTATTCCTACTTTATCTTTTGTTTTCCTTTCTGTTTGCACTATGTTAAGGGCAAACATCTTTCCCCACTAATAAGACATTCTGTTGGATTGGCAGATGTCTGTGTTCTCCAGTCTTGGTGTGGTCTTGGCCAAAGACAAAGTTCACTGAGGAAAAGAAAGGTTTTTACAAGGCAGGAACAAGATAATAGGTTTACAGAACAAGGAATGTTCTCATCTCTTTGTAATGAAAAGGACTCTGGGGTCTTGTTTTATACTATCTAGACTGAGCTTTCCTCATGGTTCAGAAACCGCCATCCAACCTCTTTAATGGAGGTTAATATGGTAACTAGCTTTAGGTTACTCTAGGCTGCTTTCCAAATCCTCCTGTGCCTTGGCTGCCTGGCCTGAGGGCTGGGTGACTCCCTGCATTCCTTTGCAGATGAGCAGAGGTGCCTTCTTTCCTCAGGTGTGACAACTGCCTGATTAAAGTGGGGGTCCTCCCATCACTATCTACCTAACGATTCCTTCTCAGGAAAGTGCATCAGGCCATTTTCGTTATACTTTTATTACATTGCAGTTTGTCTTTATGAAAATCAAATTTAAATCTGATTCTCATTTTAATTTGGGTTTTTCTAAATTTCCACTTGAATAGACTAGGAACCACATGGAGCTCTCCTTGATGGGGGTGGTTTGCTGGAGGCCAAGGAGGGAGGGAGCAAAGGTTTACCCTGTGGGATATCACAGGTGTGCTGTTTTAGTTGTCAGAAAAATGATAGGGAGTCCTCACCTTCTCTCCTGAGACCAAGCCTGAAACTTCAGTGGCTGCAGAACAATTCTAATTACATAGGCACACAGGTCAGGCTTGTACTGTGGTATTTCTACCTGCATCCAGTTGTAAGGAAGACAAACCTGTGGTTTGCAGTCACAGAGCTAGGCTTGCTATCTTTAAGATGCCATGGTTCTGCTCTTGAATTGCATTTAGAAACTCAAAGAGTACTAGAGTTCGAGCATCTAACCCTGTGGTTTTCAACCTTTTTTGCAGCACAAAAACCCTTCCAAATTCTTAATTGTGAGCCCAACAAGTAAAACCAAGAAATGCTGCTCTGATGCAATTCCCAGCTCTTCTCAGCCCTTAACACTGCCTTGGAGCCCCAGTTTAAGAACTTGTCACTGGGGTGGTGCCTGTGGCTCAAACAAGTGGGGTGCTGGCCCCATATGCCAGAGGTGGCGGGTTCAAACCCAGCCCTAGCCAAAAACTGCAAAAAAAAAAAAAAAAAAGGTTTGACTCACAGTGGGTGCTCATTAAATAAATACACACACACACACATAAACTTATTTTTGGTCTGTCATCTCATTTTGTAAATTCATGTAATAAAAATGTACTGAGCACATATTCTGTAGCTAGCAATATGCTAAGTTTTGAAAAAGCACTGGACCTAAAATATTAGAATAACTCCAATCTCTGTCTTATCAGGGGAGATGGATGATTGTAACATAGTAAGATCCATAGTACAAATGCACCTGTGATACGAGTTATGGAATGACATTATTCTGGGGACACTGAGTCTGAGCCTAAGTTTCTAAGACTGAGCAGTCAGCTTTGAAAGGGATGGGGAAGAGTATAATCCAGACTGAAGAATGGAGTGGATAAGTAGCTAGGGTATATTCTGGAAGTTGTTTTATGTAGCAGCTAGTGAAGTGGGAATTTGAGAAGAGGTGAGCCTGGAAGGCTCTAAGCCTTGTCTTGATGATCCTTTAGACTTTCAACCTTTTCTCTCACAGCATACTTGAACCTGTAGTTAAACTTCCAAGACACACTTAAACACTGTGCTTTGAACTTCTTTTGAAAATAATTCATAATCTTTACAAATTTTCTCAGTGCACTTATGATCCTCTCATGGCACAGTGGAAAATCACTGCTTTAGAGATAGGAATTCACAGAAGGCCTTTAACAGGGAAGCCACAAGGTCAAGTGTGAACTTTAGATTGTCAATAGGGATCATGAATTTGATCAGAACAAGAGATGTGGGAGTACAACAGTTCTCTAACACAGAAGAGAAAAACAGTCACAAGTTTATAGGGAAAATAGCATTCATTGAAATTCTAGGCAGTCTGATAGAGAGGCTGGATTTGGAGTCTGAAGACTTGAGGAAGAGAATACTCTGTGATCCCATATACATACAAAGGGAATGGAGAGAAATGGATTTGGTGAAAGGTGAGCTGCTTAACTGATTTGGTCAATTCTGAGTTTCTTAATACTTTTCTGTACAATGAGTACACACACACACGCACACACTCACACACAGACATTCTTTATAACCAGGAAAACACAATTACTTTATACTTGTCTTATAAACTTTGTTCTCCTTCAATTTTTTTTAACCAAATTGGACCATACTATATACAGAGAATATGCATTCTCACTAAAAACTTTTTTTGGGGAACAATACTATGCAGTCATTAAAATTGTGTTTTCAAAAGAATATTTAAAAGCATATGCAAATAATTATCAGTCTTTTTATACTATACTTCATGATGTTATTTAATTAGATTCTATATAGATAGAATACAGACAAAAAAATCTAAGACAAAAAAATCTCTTGAAAATAAACCAGTGTTCACAGCGTGTCACGTGCTCTCTTGATTGGAGTAATCAGGCTGTCAAGTTCTCTTAATCGCTAGTGACGGTAGAACAAATGCAAAGCTAGCCTAGGGTCTCCTCAAATAACTCAGGATTGTGGGTACAGGCTTTTCTGACACTGTTTGGAAATGATACTTTTTGCCTAAAAATGGTAAAGCTGGGTGTTCTTTGTTTGAACTTTTTTGCTACAGCCAAACAGATCACAATGAATGATTGAATGTGCTCTACCAAATGGACAGCTGACCTTAATGGAAGCTACCGCTCAAAAACTATCATAAAGCATTTGTCACTTTTATTAGGAGGAGGAAATAGAATAATTTTAGAATAATTTAACTGTTATTTTAGGTATACTCAAAACAACTTACAAATTTTATAAATTCTTTACTATAGTATTGCTAGCTTATTCTGATCCATGAAAGCTCTGTAGGTATACTCTGTGTTAACAAGTCACTAGCAACTATTATTAATAGCAACATGCTACACCCCTCAGTTACCAATAGAGGAAAGTAGGACACTTGGAGAAGGTGAATTTATTTTTTTAGTGAACAAAATTTATCCATAATATGCTAATTCAACATACTAACTTCAGCTTTCTGGATTGTGGGTAGAGGTACTAGATCTAGTGTTGGCTTCTGTAGATCTCAGGAAGGCAGGCAGAATTACTGTCAGGAAAACATAAGCAGCTTCAACCAGTCAAAAGTCTTAAAAACCTGGTCTGTATCTGAATGAGTTCATTTCCTAATGCATAGAAACCAACCAGAACACACAGTACAGGTTTTATTTGGGAAACATGTCAACTCAGAGATGGTATCCAAAGACAAAAATCTAAAGAACATTAAAATTTACTATTTTCTAAAGCCACATACTAGATTTTTATATGAATCTCCTGATTAACTTAGACACTCACTATAAGGAAGTTTAGGGAATATTAAAACCAAATGCAGGGCATCAGACCAAAATTACTTAAGACGATTTCAAGAGCATGATAAAGATGGACAACTGACCTTGAAAAAAATCAGTGTGATGTTTTCTCAAGTATTCCTGGTAACAATTACTTGAGGTACTTCTTAGAAATAAAGATTCTGAGACTCTATATTTTGGCTCAGGAGGTAGTAGGTTTGGATTGGGGGCCAAGAGTCTGTACTTTAAGCACTTCAAGTGTTTCTAATGATCAGGCAAGTTTGGGAAATAGGGCTAAGGGGAAACAACAGGAACAATACCACCAGGGCTCTGGGAAAACACTCAACTGAAATTGAGTAATTATCTATGGAACACTGTTTATTTCAAGTCCAGACACAAAATTACTCATTTATCTTAACAGACTGCATAATCTTTACTGCATGAATATTTAGGGTTTCTCTATTCACAAATGCAGATTTATCATTGAACTTTAGGCTCAAATGATTCATATGTATATAAATATATCAGTTTACTACAGAGGACATGTACTTTAACAAACTTTTTTGTTCAGAAAATCTATTACATAAAAACACACAAATCATATACCAACGCTCTACAACCAGCCTTCAGCAAAGATATGGCTGAATATCATAATTTTCTATGTAACATTCTAATAATGAATAGAATGTAGTATCTTACATATTTTAGCTTGTAGTTAAAATTAAAAGCTCCCCTTTCTTTGATAGCTTCTGCATATATTATACCTATTAAGCAAAAGTCTTTCCTTTAATTGTTAAATACAATTTTTTAGGTCAACTTGTCCCAATCAAGGAACCTAAACAGTCATGACAAAGCAAATAATTGACATATTATTAGGGCTTTTGGAAGAATATAATCTCTCGGTATCACATCCTTTAATGTTTTCTGTTTAATAACTATCACCTGGAATGCTATTACTTCTAAGTATAATCAGTTGGCATCAAAATATAAAGTAAAAATATGTACATTTTAATATATCAATTCTTACCTGAATAATCTCAGAGTTCAAGGATGTTCCACAAAGTGGAATTTCTTCCTAAAGTTACACTGTATGTGGTACAATGTGTACAACTTAGTTAACCAGTGCCTGCTTTTCATTTCCAAGATTCTTCCTTATCTTGAATCAAATGCACAATCTTACTATCACAGTTTTGTATATAAAGTCCAACTCAAGCTTATTTTGGTTTATTGTACATGCTTTATTAAAATGGTACTTGTATTTACAGTATCTGCAGAAAGAGTCCTTTCCAAGGCGCGCTCACACACATTCAGACACACCCATACAGACATCCATACTGAGGCCCCATGCACCCACACCAGTGAGATGTGAGGGTCAGACTCCTAAAATTAGGCAGCTGTTGGGGGTTAAGTGTTGTTGATTTGTTTTTCAATTTTTTTGAAAAGAGAAAAGCATGGGGGAATGCATTTGGCCATTACAATGTTAATTTGTGTAAATTAACATACATGGCAGTTAACACTGAATATTCCTTTTACATTCTATATACACAGAATGATAACAAGGTTTTACGGTCAATAGAATATTCCAACTTCACTCTCAATGCTGCTTGTAGTGACTTCTGAATTCTCACAGGGGGCTTTCCCTAAAAATAATTCAAGTCTATTGGAAGTGAAATAAGGCACAATTAATATTGATTTGATCTAGGGGAAGGAAAGGGATAAAAACTGGTTTCAAATGATCTTACTGTTGGGGAATTAGCTTTAACTTTAACCCATTTGAAAGTCCTTCTTCTAAGTTTTAAAGATTTCTTAGAAATAAAGGTTTTTTTGCCCTTTTTTTTTTTTTAATTTTCCCTGACAAAGCCAAAAAGAAGTTTTGGAATTCACATTTTAATGTTTCAGTAGCCTAAACTATTCAAACTGATGTGCAACCCCCACCTCCCCTGCCCAGGTCTCCTCCTTCCACAATGCTAAAACAAAAACACAGCATGGGAAATAGGAGTCCATTGCTATTTTTTAAGGAGATCTGTTCTGTACACTTGAGTAGCAAATACATATCTGGTTGTCTTTGAAAGAAAGGAAAGGAAAAGAAAAGAAAGGAAAGGAAAGGGGAGGGGAGGGGGAGGAGGAGGGAGGAAAGGGAAAAGAAAAGAAAAATAAAAAGAAAATAAGTAACCTCATGACTTCCTTGCTCTTTAAAAAATATCCCTATCTCCTTTTCAGGATGATGAAGCCCCACCAGACATTACAAACAACTGCAACAAATGAGTTTGGCAGCATAAATAATGTCTAGTATTTAAATCTTCATAGTGAGACTCATTTATCTCGTATACAATCTGTTGAATGTTTTTCGCAGCAGGTGACTCAAACCCAAAGACGCTGGACATTCTGTGAAAGGGAGTAAGAATTGCAGTTCTGAAGGCCCCTGACTTTGGTTGTTTACAAAGTTCAATCCTGTTTATTGTGATCCTTGGTATCTTCTTCATCTGTATATTCTGATGGTTCTTCCCCTGGTTTTAGGAGTCTGCCTACATAATCATATTTTTCT